CAATAACAGTGCAGATATTTTCATTTTTCTCTCTTCTGTGTGATCAATAACAGTGCAGATATTTTCATTGTGTGATCATAACAGTGCAGAATTTTCATTTTCTCTCTTCTGTGTGATCTAATTAATCAATACAGTGCAGATATTTTCATTTTCCTCTCTTCTGTGTGATCATAACAGTGCAGTATTTTCATTTTTCTCTTCAATAAGTGCAGATATTTTATTTTTCTCTCTTTTTGTGTGATCAATAACAGTGCAGATATTTTCATTTTTCTCTCTTTTTGTGTGATAGTGCAAGTTTTTTCATTTTTTTCTTTTGTGTGATCAATAACAGTGCAGATCAAGATATTTTCATTTTGCAATAACAGATATTTTCATTTTTCTCTCTTTTGTGTGATCAATAACAGTGCAGATATTTTCATTTTTCTCTCTTTTGTGTGATCAATAACAGTGCAGATATTTTCATTTTTCTCTCTTTCTGTGTGATCAATAACAGTGCAGATATTTTCATTTTTCTCTTTTGTGTGATCAATACAGTGCAGATATTTTCATTTTTTCTCTCTTTTGTGTGATCATTAACAGTGCAGATTTTATTTTTCTCTCTTTGTGGTGATCAATAACAGTGCAGATTTTTCATCTCTTTTTGTGTGATCAATAACAGTGCAGATTTTTCATTTTTTCTTTTTGTTGTGATCTAACAGTGCAGATAAATGTGATATTTTCATGTGATCAATAACAGTGAGATATTTTCATTTTTCTCTCTTTGTGTGATCAATAACAGTGCAGTATTTCCATTTTGCATCGGTTGAATACAAGCCTGAGCATCGACTTTACGTAAAGTATTTCGTTTTCCCCTTCTAACAGTTATCTATTTTTCACCAGTTAAAAATCTCCAATCTCGTCCTCAGAGATTCCCGCTGTATATTGTAAAGGAATAAAGAAAATGGCATTGAGAAATTAGACCTTGCAACTATACAAAAAAAAGGACAACCCACCTGTCCCTTCGCCAAGTCTCTTATATAATGTAATCAGCTGAGACTAATTATCAATGTGTACTGTGTAAACCTTCTAAATAATCTTCTTATTCCTCATCAAAGTTTGCTGCCTTCATCTCCGCCTTATCGTGTTTAATTAATATGAGCAAATCGGAACGCTCCAGAGTCCAGTTTGAGTTGCCAGTTCTTGTTTATTTTCCCTGACTGAATGCGGTATAGGAATTACTGAATAGTGAGCTGTAATGTTTTGAATAAATGAGGTGTTCCTTTTGCAGATCCATTGTTTCCTTCTACAATTATATGAGGGCCCCTAGATATGCTAGGTGGCGTCACAATGTAAGCTATCAAGCCTACTTCAATACTGGTAAGTGATACATCTCATATGAGTACTGGGTATATTACGAAAATCAAAATGGCGTTTTTAGTATCTCGTGTAATTATGGTGATCGAGGAGCATTTCTCTTCGGGAATCTCGTGCACTCTATCTGGAAATCAAAAAAGAAAAAAAGCAAAAAAAAGATTAGAAAAGAAAAAAAAGGTCCCCAAGAAAAACTTTGCAAATCCGGAAATCTTCAGGAAATCCCAAGAAACCTAAAATTTCGGAAATGTTCCAATCGCAGCAGTTTTACATAATCTTGGCAATAGTACCAAGTATTCCTTTAAAACCGGAAGCACAACGCGAGAATGTCAGAACAATAGTCGCGCCGGACATGGCTTCTTTGTATTGTTTTGAAGGTTCTTGTAACCCTTCAGGAGTGATTAAGATTAAACGCAAATATCAATTGATTTAAAGATGGCACAAATGATTTACGCCTGACTTTTAAGCAAAAAGGTCTCGTGTGTACCCGCAAGCAGGGTATTAATAATAAATATAAAGTCATAAACTGCTAAGTATGTATATACAACACAACCACATATTATATATATTATTATATATTATATATATATATATATATATATATACAATATACGTACCGTCTTCAAATAACGCAATTTTAAATTTGTTAACGTCTGAAATGTCTTTTTAACTTTCAAACCTTTTTGAAAATCGGACAAGTGGATTTATCAGAAATTGCTGACACGATTTCATAGTTACATGCTTTGTGTCAAGTTTCAAGCGATTTGACTGGCCTGTTGGGTACACGGAATTTTATAACCTACCAGCACTATTGAATCACTTTTGGGAAAGAAAGCTTTATCGAAATGGAGCAAAAGATACTGGAGAAACGATGACGCACAAGTCCAGAAATAAGGCCTAAGCGCGGTCTTGGTAAGGCATTATATCAATTAAATAGCAGCAGCAGCACAGATGTTTGATGCAGCTACAAGGTCAACTGAATTTACTTTTTTCCTCTTATGTCTATTTCCGCAAATTTTCGGAAAGATTGCTTATTTTGAAACGCTCAAATTTCCAAGTAACTGGTTAATTCCGTGGTTAATCCATTAGATTATTATAATAAAGAAAAATCGAGATTATTATTTTTTTCTTTTTTGTTTAAAGCGCTACAGTAACCATGAGTCATATTTTATTTTTTCATGTGGAACCTGTAAAGTAACAAGTGAACAACTTAGTTTTTGGAACATTTACGATAATTTGATGGCTTTTAAACGGCTGCAACAGCTTTGGAAATACCTCGAAATCCGGAAATCCTTAATAGATTTGTCAGGAAATCCGGAATCACGGTAAATTTTGGGGGGATTTCGGAAACCCCGGAATTCTTGTACGCTATTTTCGGTTGTGAAATGCCACTCGATGGTAGTATATTAAATGACAGCATGGATTGATGATTTCAGTTACTATATAATACTTGGATTATAGATATAAATATATAGTAAATTATATATAGAAATACAAAAATGCTAATAATAGCAGGGATGATACGAACGATTTTTTTTCAGGATTTGCCAACTTCGCCAACCATCAGCTTTTTAAATGGACAAAGGTAAGACTTTGAGGAATGTGCTCCTCTCCCCCTCTCTGTCTTTCTGTCTGTCTGTCTATCTGTCTATCTTCTATTCTCTCTTCTCTCTCTCTCTCTCTCTCTCTCTCTCTCTCTCTCTCTCTCTCTCTCTCTCTCCTCTCTCTCCTCTCTCTCTCTCTCCATACAGACACATTCATGAATAAACATACATGTAATTAATTCCTGCTCCAGGCCACATTACTAGTATTTTTTATAGTGAAAATTTCCAAGGAGACCCATATTCTATAATGGATTACACGGGTATTAAATCCATGAATCTTATCCTTCTTCCATAAATCCATTCAGATCACTAATATCTTCAGCAAATGCTTGCTCCAGTCCTGTGACTTTTTAAAGATTTTTGAAACCTCTCTCACGTGAGTTGCGAGAAAATACACGATGAGAAAGAAGAACAGAAAAGGAAGACAGTAGTAACACACAAGGTTGAGATTCAGAAGTTGCAAGCAGATAAATCAGTAAAAGGCTAGAAAGGAATGAAGCAGGAGACGCAGAAAAGCTGATTTTTGCGTGAAATTAAACATGCGATGGCAAGAAAGAGCCACGCCAAGGGGGTAACGCGGTCATGTGGTCTAATTGTGTGGGAATTCACTTTGCTAAACCAGGATGTAGAGGGAGGTTGATATGAGGAAAAAATAAAGACACCAATATAATATATGACAAAGTTACTATGAAACGGGTAGTAACATTAACGGAAGTATTTTATCAGTATATAGTAACAACTCATGAGAAATGTAATAATCATTAGGGAGAAATGGTGATTATCATGTTATTGATTAATTTCACTTATCATAACAGAAATACTAACAACCGATTATATTCCAAGCTCTCTTAGTGCAACACCCATATAGTTTTTACCTTTGATTATTTACCACTACGACCCCCAAAATCCAGATGGGTGTCGACTTCTCACCCTTGGGGAATTTGGCCATCTTGGAAAATCCAAGATAGCCACAAGCGTAATATGTTATATTTCCAGAAATATTAGAGCTCGAGACTTCATTTTCATATCTAATCATCGGTTTTTCAATGTCTAAAAACTTATTCGATACATTCAAGTTTATCCGTCTTTACTGGAATACTGTTAAATCAGTTTGTCATCAGCTTCAGTGAATAAAAATGATTATGTATTATGCTCATCTTATTCATAAGCTGTAGATCTGTTGCGACATGACTCTTCAGTGTGGCAAACACAGAATACAATACATGCAATGCCAGCACTCCTACCTCTACACCTGTTCGAATGACAAGGGTGTTCACCGCGACACGAGCATTTTATCAGTTGCAGTATCTCCTCTGGCACCAGTTCTACACCTCTAGCTACAGGTGTTGCACGGAGGAAGCTGGATCCCACTTCTTTGGACGATCCATATGATCAGGATTGGGTGAATCCGATTCCAGGGATTTCAGACAAATTGCTATTTGGAAGTGCAACCTGAGCTTGTCCTACCTGAAAGCTTGAGTAGTTGGTGGCAAGGAACAAAGAAGTTGCAGCAGCTTTACTTCTAACTAGTTTGAGTCCATGTTCTTTACATGTTTCTGTGAGCGTATTGTATTTTGACTCCATAGCGGGCAAGCATGAATTTAGTAGCCTGTCTTCCACATCAGAGAGAGATGCGTCCGTTAATCCTATCAAATCCAGTCGATGTCTTGCGGTTTTCAGTATCTTGAGCCCTGTGAACTTTTCAATTTCGAAACAAGAAGCCACTGCGTCACAGCCTGTGAGTGTATGTAAAGTTCTGGTGTACCTTTGTGTGCATTTACTGTTGATCTGATGTCTAAAACTCCTCTGCCAGATACTGGAAGCAACCTCACAGTAGCGCAAGCGAAGTCACCATGGTTGCAGAAGTACAAGAGAAGGAAAATATCTGCAATGACTGCCATGTTATACAATTATTGCATCAGCCTGCTCTTGGGTAGTTCTGAGAGAGAACCTAACCATGGGATATTTCTACAGCAAAGAACGCCTTGGAGTTTCGGGGTCTTCGCGCTGAAATAACCTGACCATGGATATCTTTAGAGCACAGGATGTCTTCAAGTCTTCATTCTGATGGCAAAAGTCCCTCGCCATAAATTATGCTGGCTCGTCAAACTTATCTTCCGGGAAGGACCTCTGTTCTTGGAGCACGAATCTTTTTCAGACAAGCTTTGCCATATCTCTCAAAGAAGAAGATGACAGTCATCATTTATCTGAAATTAACACATGTAACTTCTAGCAAAGATGCTTAGGAGAGATTTCAGGGTTTCGGCAATGCGTTGTGCTATTTTAAGTCATCGTTTAAACTCCGCCTTTTTAAACCTGAAACCAATGCTGAAGTTCGATGCTAGAGTATTATATATATATATTATATATATATATATATATATAAATATATATATATATATATATATATATATATATATATATATATATATATTATTTATTTATTTATTTATTTATATATATTCTCTCTCTTTCTCCCTCTCTCTCTCTCCTCTCTCCTCTCTCTCTCTCTCTCTACAGAAAAGCCTGGCTGTGCTTATATTCTACAACGGAAATGCGTTGTAAATATTTTTCAGATCATTATGTACCCAGAGATTTTTTTTTAAATATTTTTAAATCATTAGAAATCATTGGAATTTTTCCTTTCAAACACACGGTGTCTCAATTCGTTTCTTCGATTCTGTATATTGTTATTATAACGTGGGTGTGTATCAAGTTGTAATATGGATCTAAAAGCAAAGAGCACCATAAAGGCTAAGAGAAATCTTATAAAGTGAATTAATTTAAATGATCACGCTCATAGACAGCAGAAAGAAAAACAAAAATAGATGTTACTGTATCGGACGGTGCGTGTAAATATAACCAGCGATAAAGCAAACTGATGCAAATTTACGAAAACACTACTATAGTAACACAAAAAAGTACTGACTGATTTATGTACTGTATGCTCCTTATGCTTATCCGTATATATATGCCTTTATTTCCAGACAAAGGAGTGGGTGAGAGAGAGAGACGGTGGAAGAGAGTGAGAGTAGACAAGGCAAAGGGAGGGGAGAGAGGAGAGAGAGAGAAGAGAGAGAGAAGAGAGAGAGAAGAGAGAGAGAGAGAGAGAGAGAGAGAGAGAAGAGAGAGAGAGAGAGAGAGAGAGAGAGAGAGAGAGAGAGAGAGAGAGAGAGAGCTCAAACAGGCCAGGAAATATAAAACATAATTAGCATCTTTGCAGATTACACTTTCGTTCATCTTTAATTTCTCAGCTTTATGCAAATCGTTCCACCCATTTCGTAGTCATTATGTAGGTCCACCTATATTATATTATGCTAATGGATTTGAATATACTTATTAATGCCTGTGGATTTAGTTATCTCCACGCTTGATGTTAATCAATGAGCTAAACCTCATTTCGTTTCCATTAGCATATTTTAGCGCAAAAGAGAAAGATGTTTACCTCAACTTATGCATAAGTTATCTCCATCCGAGAATTGTTAGTTGGAATACTTGTCTATTGCTTTTAAAACCCAAGTATGTATATGTTGTGTTTTATTTTGACATTTCTGTGCTCTCCAAGGACTGTTATGATTTGTACTTTATAGAAAGACACTTCCACATGTCTGGCATCACTGAACAAGGCTTAACTGCCTTGGAAAGCGTTTTAAGCAGGGAACGGGCCTATTGGCGAGAATTCTTGCTCTAGCGCTCCCCTGCTTAAAACGCTTTATGTTTAACACGTGTTCAATATAGGCCTATGTGAGAGCTTAATGGAGACGGCTGAAATTATAATCAACTGATAAAAATACTATAAATCATATTATCTTGTTTCCGTCAGCGAAAAAAAAAACATTCATAAGCATTCTCAATTTAAATACTGGAAATTAATATAAGAATAAAATAACGTAAAATTACGTTCATCATCATTCAGATGCAATGCTGTATCCCAGTTATAGTTTCAATAAATTATTTTTTTGCGTGAAAGAGGTCGACTAACAGGATAATTCAATTTAAATCATTAGATGCAAATAAATATAGAGCAAAACATGTTTACATAGACTTGCATTTAAAGTTATTAAAAGTCAGCTTTCCTATTAATAAACACTTGTGTAGGCTGCTCCAATGATTAAGATACTTTACACGATGCAGATATAGAAACGATAGGATGTAATGTGATACTCGACTGGCATACCTTATCTTTATCTAAGCATGGCCATAGAGTGTATGTTTATTTAGCTTTACGAAGCAAAACGCCCTCATAATCCTTGGTCGATTTTTTAGATCCAAGAATTTTATCCCTTTAACAAAATGCAGTGGATTTGCGAATGAGAAAATGGATGGTTTGGAATTTCATATCCTTTAGAAAACATGCCTGCACATGAGGACAGCCTGAATCGGTGGCATGTTGCATATCCCAACTTACGTGGAATGAATGCATGATAAGGAGGCATCAAGCACCATAGAGACAGAGCCATAAGCTTTTCGATATGGAGGCAGTGGTAGAGGAGATCGATAAAAAATTAAGTGCACGTTTGTTTTCAGGAAATCGATTTTCCTTTGT